TTCTCTTGTTGCAGATCACAGGCTCCAGAGTGTTTGGGCTTCAGTGGTCGTGGCTTTAGTAGTTGCCCCAGGGCATATGGAATCCTCCCAGGCTAGGAATCGAACCCACGTCCCCTGCATTGGCAGGCAGATTCCCAACCGTTGGACTACCAGGACAGTCCTGTTTCTGTCTTGTAAATAAGTTCATTTGTATCATTTTTTTAGATTCCATGTATAAGTGGCATCATGTGATATTTGTCTTTCTATGTCTGACTTACTGCACTTAGTATGATAATCTCGGGTTGCATCCATGTTGCTGCAAATGGCATAATTTCGTTCTTTTTTATGGCTGAGTGGTATTCCACTGAATATATGTACCACATCTACGTTATCCATTCATGTCTCGCCCACTGTATGAGTTTGACTTTTTTGAATATCTGTAACTGTCTAAGACCAGAGTTACATTTGTGATTAGAATGGGCCTTGAAAGGATATTCACAATTTTTAAAAAAGATGACAATTCTAGGTAGTAGTGCCTGAGGGCTTGCCCACTGCATGGAAAGCTTTCCAATGACCCTGGGAAGCAGATGTTGTCCTTATCACCGTGTGGCAGGTAAGGAAACTGAGGCCAAGACTTAAGTCATCTGGCTAGTGAGCGGGGACACTATGATCTGAAGAAACCAAGTGTTAGGGCCCAAACCTCTGACCATACGGCCTTCCTCAAGGATTCCCAGTAAATTCCATCTGACTGCCGATGTTTGGGGGCTTCTCAGGTAGTGCAATGATAAAGAATCTGCTTGCTAATGCAGGAGACGAAGGAAACATGGGTTCGATCCCTGGGTCGGGAAGATCCCCTGGAGAATGGGATGGCTACCCACTCCAGTATTCTTGTCTGGGAAATCCCATGGACAGAGGAGCCTGGTGGCAACTGTCCATGCGTTGCAAAGAGCCGGATGTGACTTAGCAACTGAACACACATGCATATATAAGACAGATAACTAACGGACTTCCATGGTGGTCCAGTGGTGAAGAATCCACATTCCGGTGCAGAGGACCTAGGTTCAATCTCTGACTGGGGAACTAAGACCCCACATGCCGAGGGTCAACTAAGCCCGTGGGCCCCACAATTACTGATACCGTGCGCCACAACGAAGATGCTGCAACTAAGGCCTGACGCAGCCAAATAAATAAACGAATAAAAATAAATACTAAAAAACAGACAGTTAATAAAGACCTACTGTGTAATACAGGGCACGCTACTCTATACTGTCATGACCTCCATGGGAAAAGAATCTAAAAAAGGAGTGGTATATGTGTAACTGAGTCACTTTACTGTACAACAGAAACTAACACAACACTGTAAATCAGCTATATGCAAATAAAATTATATTTTGAAAACATTTTTAATTTTTCTGCGGTACATATTTATTTGGCTGCATCAGGCCTTAGTTGCAGCATCTTTGTTGTGGCGCACGGTATCAGTAAATGTGGGGCCCACGGGCTTAGTTGACCCTCGGCATGTGGGGTCTTAGTTCCCCAGTCAGAGATTGAACCCAGGTCCTCTGCACTGGAAGGTGGATTCTTCACCACTGGGCCACCACGGAAGTCCGTTAGCTATCTGTTTTAAATATGCATGTGTGTTCAGTTGCTAAGTCACATCCAGCTCTTTGCGACCCAGGGACTCCAGTACTTTGGCCACCTGATGCAAAGAACTGACTCATTGGAAAAGACCCTGATGGTGGGAAAGATTAAAGACGGGAGGAGACGGGGATGACAGAGGATGAGGTGGTTGGATGGCATCACTGACAGGATGGACATGAGTTTGAGTAAGCTCCGGGAGTTGGTGATGGACAGGGAAGCCTGGCGTGCTGCAGTCCATGGGGTTACAGTCAGACACGACTGAGTGACTGAACTGAACTAAAGGTGAAATTCACATAACATCCAATTAACCACTCTAAAGTGTACAATTCTGTGGCATTCAGTATATTCACAATGTTGGGCAACCCCACCCCTATCTAGTTCCAAAACATTTTTACCACCCAAAAGGAATCATGTCCCCAGGAAGCAGTCAGTCCCATTCCCTGCCTCCCCTCAGCTCTCATAAATGACAAATCTGCTTTGCCTCTATGGATTTGCCTATTCTGGACATTTTCTATAAATAGAATCAGACAATACGTGGCCTTCTGGGTCTGGCTTCTTTCATTCAGCGTGCTATTTTGGAGCGTTTATCCCCATCGTAGCATGTATCAGAGCCTCATATACCTTTTAAGACTGAATAATATTACATGGTATGGATGGATCACTATTTGTTTAAATATGTATTCCGTCCATACACGTGGCTCTGTACTTTATTTCTTCACTTAAGAGACTGTGGTACGTCCCTGGTCATCCAGCGATTAATAATCCGCCTGCCAATGCAAGGGACACAGGTTAGATCCCTGGTCCGGGAGGATCCCACATGCCATGGAGTAACAAGCCAGTTCGACACAGCTACTGAAGCCCAAGAGCCCTAAAGCTCATGCTCCACAACAAGAGAAGCCGCCCCAAAGAGAAGCCTGCGCACCCCAGCTGGAGAGTAGTCTGCACGAAGGCTACACGAAGCCAGGAAGACACAGAGCAGCCAAAAATAAACTAAAAGGAAAAGAAAAAAATAGAGAGACTATGATTTGAAGATCTCATTTCAAAACCAAATTACCTTTGTTACTTCTCCTTCATTTCCCCAGCTGCAGAATATAACATGTCTTAGCTCGGGCTGTCAGCAAAATAGCACAGTCTGAGTGGCTTAAACAACAGACATTTATTTTCTCACAGTTCTTAAGGCTGGAATCCAAGATCGATGTGCCAGCGTTGGTTTCTAGTGAGGTCTCTCTCCCTGGATTGTGAATCAATATGAATTTTTGTGGGGGACGGGACACAAATCAGTCCCTAACACTTTGCTATCGTTGGACAGTGCCATACTCAATCAGCCCCCTTGTGAAGGCATTTAGGTTGTTTCTGATCATCCACGAACTCAAACTAGGCTTTAGAGCAAGTGTTGGCAAAACTGCAGCCTACCACCTGTTTTTGTAAATAGCATTTTGGCATATGGTCACACCCATTCGTTTACATGTATTTACATATTGCTCATGTATATACTGTGTAGGCTTCAACAGCGGAGTGACAAGTGAGAAACATTTATTCTCTGGCCCTTTCCAGAAAAGATTTGATCACTCACGTAGAGAACAAACGTGTGGATGCCAAGGGGGAAAGGGGGGATAGGACGAATTGGGAGATTGGGGTGGGCATACATTCACTATTGATACTGTGTATAGAATAAATAACTAAGGAGGATCTACAGCACAGCGCACGGAATTCTACTCAGCGCTCTGTTATGACCTAAACGGGAAGGAAATCCAAAGCAGAGGGGATGTATGTATTGTTCTTTAGTCACTAAGTTGTGTCCGAGTCTTTGCAACCCCATGGACTGTGGCCTGCTAGGCTTCTCTGTCCACGGGATTTTTCCAGGCAGGAATACTGGAGTGGGTTGCCATTTCCTCCTCCAGGGGATCTTCCTGAACTAGGTACTGAACACACGACTCCTACGTTAACAGGTGGATTCTTTACCGCTGAGCCCAATATATGTATATGTATGTGTATATGTATATGTATGGCTGATTTGCTTTGCCGTACAGTAGAAAGAAAACATTGCAAAGCAACTATACTCCAATGAAAACTAAAAGAAAAGCAAAATTTAAAAAGCAAGGTTTTGTTAACTACCGGTCTATATGCATCTGAATAAATCTGTAGTAGAAATTCCTACGGGGGATATCCGCTCCCCCCAATCCACATGCTTTAAAAAGTCCTGAGAGTTCTGTTATTGCTATTGATGACAAATACATCTATTTAAGGACAGTTCATAAACCAAAATGGGCTACTAATATAAATGCTGTGTGTGTAAGACATTGTCTTCTTTTTTATAAACATTTAAAAAATTTATTTTTAATCTGACACTGTTTTCTTGAAAATCGTGCTTTTCCAAAACTTCTAAAATATAAGGAAGGAGACCAAGCATGTGGAGAAATACGTTAGGACTCTCAGCACACCCTGTGTATGTATGTGTGTTAGCTGGTCAGTCGTGTCCAACTCTTTGGGATTCCATGGACTGTGGATCTCCAGGCTCCTCTGGGTCCGTGGATTCTCCAGGCAAGAATACTGGAGTGGGTAGCCATTCCCTTCTCCAGGGGATCTTCCCCACTCAGGGATCGAACCCAGGTTTCCTGTGTTGCAGGCAAATTCTTTACTGTCTGACCCACCAGGGAAGCCCCTCAACACACCCTAAGCCCTGTAATTAAGGAAATACTAGAGTGACTCTTGTTATTCTACCATGATATTTCAATGTCCTCCTAATCACTCTGTTCTATCCCTGGGTTCTATCCTTCAAGGGGAATTTTTCACTGTTGTCTAGAACCTTTGAACCGTGCCTGATAAATTGCATTAGTTTGCTGCATGCTTTTTTGTTTTTTCTTTTTGATCCGTGTCTTGAATTTACAATCGCCGGATGCCTGCATTATTCTGTCTCTCCGCATTAATTCAATGGGTGTGTGTTGGAGGGACTTGGGAGTGGTTCTTGTCCCTTCATTCCCTCACACCTGAGGGCTGAGCAGAGACTCAGGGGTTGGGGCGGGTGGTGAAGATGGAGACGCGTTGGGATACGTCTGGCTGGGCGGCGCCAGGGTCGGGGCACAGGTGCTTCCGATGATGGCCACCAGGGGGTGCGAGAGGCCGGGATCTGGGCCCCTGCCTGGTAGGGAAGCCGGGGGCGGGGCTGCCGCGGGGCGAGGCACCTCGGAGAGTTTCCTGCAGCCACTGCGTCTGATCTAGCTTCCCAGTTCTAGCCTCCCTGGATGGCAGGCGCTCCACTGCGCCCCTGAGGCCACACCACCCTGCCTCCCACCCTCCCCGTCCTTATCCATCCTTCATTTTCCCGCCCTCATTTACTCCACCCCTCTCCTGTCCTGCTTTGCTCTGGTATTCTCCAAACATTTGCGCCCCTGTTTTCAGGACCCCAGCATCTAGCGCTGAGGCTCTTTTTCCCAAAATGACCTTTTAGAGAAAGATGTGGGAGGACACACTCCTAGCTGTGAACGTGACCCGTGGTCCAGGGAGGAGACAGCCACGCCTCTATGAACATCTGGCTTAGTTCTATATGTTTCTAGAAGCAGGCAGTTTGACAACATTCATTAAATGAATTCAAATGGAAAGTTTTTTTTTTTTTCTTCTTTGAGTTGTGCCCTGGGGATCACAGAAGATCGTGAAACCCCTGAGCCCTCCAGGACCTGGTCACAGACACACTCCAAAGCAGGGGCTGGACAGAGGAGCCCCCAGGATTGGACCCAGATGGAGTGCGGGCCAGGAGACAGTGAGGGTTAGTGGCTGCAGGAGTTGGGCTTGGGGGCCTTCAGTGCCTGCATGCACATTTTTTGCCCTGAAATGCCCTCTGTGCTTCTTTCATCATCATCAAGAAAGACCCACTGATCATTGACAATTGGCTTAAGGATGATATCTTCATCCTGGCCAAGGAGGCCTCAGATGCAGAAAGTACCTCTCTCAGGTGGGAAGGGGACCGAGGTTCCTACCTCTGTGTCACTCTTGGAGCTTCAAAGCCCAGCCTTGGCCCTGCTTCCTGTGTGGTCTTGGGCAGTTACCTTGGCCTCTCTGAGCCATGTAAGAAGTCTGAGCCCAGTGAGCTAATGTGTAGGCAAGGGACTGAGGAACCCGATGGCTTGTAGCTAGATTCCTGCTCCATGGAATTCCTGCTCCTGCTTCATTCATTCATTCCACAGTGGTTTCTTGAGCACCACTGTGTATCAGGCTTTGGGAACACAGCCATGAGTTGGACAGGCCACACACGTATCCACTTGGAGCCCCCAGTCAGCAGGGACATCAACCACATGAGTGGTCAGTGCTGAGCATTATCCCTGTAGTTCCTGGGTAGCATCTGGGGGTGGGGTATAACAGAGTGACTTCTTCTCCATTCCTGATGAAGAACCAGCAGGGTGCAGTGTGGGGCACTCGCTTCCCTGGTGCCGGGAGCCTCGCTCCAGCATCTGATTGTGATGTGATAAAGGCTGTGACTGAAGAGGGGCGGCTGTTGGGGCCCCTCCCCAGCCGAGGATCAGGCAGCCAGGAGAGAGAGGGGCAGAGCAAGTCAGCTTTGGTAACCCCACCCCATTCCCCAGACCTCTACCATCTTGGGAAACAGGAGCCCAGAGGTTTAGGAAGATGCTGACTTAACTGGTCAGGGCACCCCAGTCTGGCTGACATGGCTGAAACGCACACTCCATATTATTCCTTGAAGAAAATGTTTTCTTTCTTCAATGGTGTTACTGCTGTAAGTATGTCACAACCCGGACCCTGGGGCTTTGCAGCCCTTCCTCCATGGCTGGTTCCTTCAAAGACAGAAATAAGTTGATCCAAATTTGCTGGCATCCGGATCTGTGGTCCCCAGGGACCCAGGAGGGATGTAGGGCAGACAGACGAGGAGCAGGATGCACTGGGAGCAGGCGTCGCCTCCACCAACCCAGAGCTGCTAAATCAAGCAGAATTGTGTGCTCTGGGGGACCTGGGGGTCCATGGTGGAAGAACTCAGCTCTAAGGCAAACCCTGCAGAAAATGAAAGTTGTTTGGAAAGGCAGGAGAGAATGGTCCTTGGTCTAATGGTCTATTGGTCCTTTACATTTTTCAAACCATTTTTTTTTTCTTACTACAAAGTAACCCATGGGACTTCCCTGATGGTCCAGTGGTTAAGATTCTGTGCTCCCAATACAGGGGGCACAGGTTTGATCCCTGGTCCGGGAACTAGATCTCACATGCCACAACTGAGAACCAGGGCAAAAAAATTAAAAAAAAAAAAAGGAAACCTGAAATGTGCACTGCTGAAGCAGTCATTGTTTTCAATAGTAAGACTGTATGAGGAAAGATTGCCAGAACAGAGAAGGAAATTAAATATTACTCCTACTCTCTTCACCTGTGTGGCTTCATTTTGATGGGAATTAAACAAGATAACGCATTTAAAAGGTGGCTGATGCCTGTCCTGGGAACACGGCTCAATAAATATCATTATTATATCCTCCTAGACCTTTCTATGTACCTTTAAGAACAGCAACACAAATGTATGCGACTGCTTTACAATCTTCATTTTTTTTTCTCTTTTGAAAAATTGTAAGTTTTATCTCCTTTTAAATAGACTTTTTAGAGAACTTTTAGGTTCACAGCAAAATTAAAGGAAGGTACCAAGTCTTCCCATATAAGCCCTGGCCCCCACACTTGCACAGACTCCTTTGCTGTCAACATTCCAAATCAAGGTGGTCCATTTGTTATAATGAAATTATGTTGATATCAGGGGCTTCCCAGGTGGCACAGTGGTAAAGAATCTGCCTACCAATTCAGGAGATGCGAGAGTTCTATCCCTGGGTCAGGATCGCCTGGAGGAGGAAATGGCAACCCACTCCAGTATTCTTGCCTGAAAATTTCCATGGACAGAGGAGCCTGGCAGGCTACAGTCTACTGGGTTGCAAAGAGCCGGACACGACTGAGCACGCAGGCAAGACATTGATATCATTATGACCTTGTACATTGTATGCTGTTTTCTCTTTTGGCCATGCCTTCTGGCTTGCAGGATCTTAGGTCCCCAACCAGGGTTCGAACACATGCCCCCTGCAGTGCAAGCATGGAGTCCTAACCACTGAACTGCCAGGGAATTCCTGGTGTACATTCTATGGCTTTTCACAATTGTATCTACCATGTTAGCATCATATGAATAGTCTCACTGCCCTAAAAATCCTCTATGCTTCACCTGTCCCCCCCACTCCCCTAGCCCCTGGCAACTACTGATCTTTCTTCTGTCTCCATAGTTTTGCCTTTTCCAGAATGTCATATAGTTGGAATCATAAACCATGTAGCCTTTTCAGATTGGCTTCTTCCATTCAGCAATATGCCTGTAAGTTTCCTCTCTGTCTTTTCCTGGCTTGACAGCTCATGCTTTTTTCGTGCCAAGAGTCCATTGTCTGGATGTTCCATAGTTTGTTTATCCATTCATATGCTGAAGGCCATCTTGGTGGCTTCCAAGTTTTGGCAGCTATGGATAAAGCTGCTAGAAGCATCCATGTGCAGGTTTTTATGTGAACATAAGTTTTCAACTCTGTTAGATAAATACCAAGGACCAGAACTGCTGACAATCTATTTTTTTAAAATATAGGCCTTAAAAACATATTTGTGTGTCAATAACATTCTCCTACAACAGAAGTCGGTGAAATACAATGTTGTAAACAGATAACATTTCTTTGTAAATAAAATAAATTTGTTTATGAATTGTGTGTGGCTGGGCTTCCTCGGTGGCTCAGCAGTAAAGAATCCGCCTGCAATGCAGGAGCCGCATGAAATGTGGGTTTGATCCCTGGGCTGGGAAGATCCCCTGGAGGAGGGCATGGCAACCCATTTCAGTATTCTTGCCTGGAGAATCCCATGGACAGAGGAGCCTGGCAGCTACAGTCCATGGGGTCGAAAAAAGTCAGACACAACTGAAGTGACTGAGCACCTATGCACACATGTGTATGACTGCAGTCCAATACACTGGCTGAGTCGTTTCAGTTGAGAATGTATGGCCTGCAAAGCTCACAATATTGGGGACTTTTCCAAAAGAAAATGTGCCACCCTCTGTCTTACAAGACATCATTTAAAATAACTGTCTAGGATCCCATTGCAAGGTGGTACCATGATTTACCTACCCAATCTGTATCTTTGGTTGCTTCAATTATTTCCAACATTTTTACCTGGTTCTGAGGCTCATCCTATGTGACTATTTTTCCTAGGTTGAATGTCTAGAAATGGAATTTCTGGGTAAAAAGTTTTACCATAAAATCTTGAAGGTTTTAAACACCAATTACAAAATATCCTCCTGCCCCTTCCCTCAAAAAAAGGCTGTTGCCTGGTAGCAGTGTATGGAAAGTTTCTCTGCATCCTCACCAACTCTGGGCATTGTGAGTTTTGAAATGTTTTTGATGATTTTATTGGCCTTTGTTGCCTCCCCCAGGAGTTTGGTTTGTATACAGCTAACAGATTGCTTTCCCTGTTTTCTGTTCTAAAGCTCTCTGGCATGATCCTCATTGGTCTGAGCATCTATGTGAATTTCAGAGGGGCTGTCCTGACCAAGGTCCTTGGGCTGTCCTCAGCATACCTGTTTCATGTTGGCTACCTGTGCCTGGTGATGGGCAGCGTCATGGTGTTGCTTGGCTTCGCCAGGCGGCAGGGAGCAGCCAAGGAAAGCAGAGGCACCCTCTTGTCTGTAAGTTGGATCTGCACACAGACCCCACAACTCCTCCGTCATGTCTGAATCCTTCCTTGCAGGTGTTCTAAATTCCTTTGATGTTTCCTATTTTATAGTGTTTATGGTGTCTTTTTAAGAACACCAGATGCAAACATCTTTTTTTTAAAAAATAACTTTAAAAAGTTATTTATTTATGGCTGTGTTCAGTCTCCATTGCTGTGTGCAGTCTCTCTAGTGGCAAGCAGGGGGCTACGCTTTGTTGCAGTGTTCAGGCTTCTCTTGTGGATGGAGGACAGGCTCTAGTCTTCAGAAGTTGCAGCGTATGGCCTCGGTAGTTGCGGCACATGGGCTTAGTTGCTCCGAGGCATGTGGAATCTTCCCGGACCAGGGATTGAACCCGTGCCCCATGCACTGGCAGGCAGGTTCCTATCCACTGCACCACCAAGGGAGTCCCATCTTTTTCTGTATGATGGGTCTCATTTAGAGCCCCTCCCCCGCCCAAGTGCATAAATTACACCCTCCTAGATTTTCTTCCTGTTATTTTATGTCTTACTTTCTCACTCTTAGCTCTTTAGTCTCTGGGAGTTTGATTGTGTGTGTGTGGTGTGAGGTAAGGATCTGATTTCTTTTTTTTTCCTAGTTGTGTGACATACTATTGCACTTACCGCCTGGCCCATCCAGTCCTCCTCTGTCTTTGCTGGTTTCTATTACGCTCAGGTCTGTTCTATGCACACTGCTTTGCTCCGTTGGCCCATGTATATGTCCCCCATGAATACAACACTATAGTAATTGCCACGTGGCACAAGTACACGGTCAGATGCGTGGAGTGAGAATATTTTGAGCACGATCATCAGATCACGTCACAGATTTTACATGTCTTACTCATTCTCCCATGTAGCCTTGGCCAAATGTCTCCCCAGCGTCCAGCTCCCAGAGTCCCCATTCCCACTTCCCTTATAATCTTGTCTGAACTGATCATCCCATTTTAAGTCGAATCTGTCTCCACATCTTTTTTGTTTTGTTTTTAAAGAAGCACTCTCTTTTTTTTTTTGCTCTGTCTGGTCTTAGTTGGGGTAGGTGGGATCTTTCCTTGTGGCCCAAGCGCTTCTCTAGATGGAGCAGAGCGCCTCAGTTGCTCTGCAGCTTGTAGGATCTTAGTGCCCAGACGAGGGATCAAACTGGCATCCCTTGCATTGAAGGCAGATTCTTCACCACTGGACCACCAGGAAAGTCCCTGCCTCCAGCATCTTCCCCTACTGTGTTGCTGCAAAATTCCAGTGGTTTTGATTTAGAGGTTTCAAGGTGATCCTTGCTCTAGCCATCTCCCAGAGAGTCAACAGCCCCCATTCTTAAAGAATCCACCCTCACTGTCCACCTCCCTGAATATCTATCATCTCTAGTTTTCTTGATTATTTCATTCAACAAGTATTTATTGAACCAGTCCTGTGTCTGCAATATTTCATTTTCTCTTCTAGAGGATGTTGTTGTCTCTTAGCTGTGTCCGACTCTTGGCAACCCTATGGACAGCAGCACCCCAGGCTTCCCTGTCCTTCACTATTTCCTGGAGTTTGCTCAAACTCGTGTCCATCGAGTCGGTGGTGCCATCCAACCATCTAATCCTCTATCACCCTTTTCTCTCCTGTCCTCAATCTTTCCCAGCATCAGGGTCTTTTCCAATGAGTTGGCTCTTTGCATCAGGTGGCTAAAGTATTGGAGCTTCAGCTTCAGCATCAGTCCTTCCAATGAATATCCAGGGTTGATTTCCTTTAGGATTGACTGGTTGGATCTCCTTGTAGTCCAAGGGACTCTCAAGTCCAACACCACAGTTCAAAAGCACCAGTTCTTCGGCGCTCAGCTTTCTTTATAATCCAACTCTCACATCCACACATGACTATTGGAAAAACCACAGCCTTGACTAGATGGACCTTTTTTGGCAAAGTAATGTCTCTGCTTTTTAATATGCTGTCTAGGTTGGTCATAACTTTCCTTCCAAGGAGTAAGCATCTTTTAATTTCATGGCTGCAGTCACCATC